GCCTGAAATAAACGCCAAGCTGTTACTATGCCGGTCTCCATTGGACAAAGTTGCTCCAAGATCCCCCCGCTTTCTTACTGCTTTCATTATTATGTCCACCACAGGACTTCATATTAAATATGCCCAAAAAAAAATTGAAGATTGTCCAAAAAATATACATGTATGCTACTAACTATTAAGTAGACGGAGTTTGGACAGTTTGGACATCATTGTTTGTAACTTGCTGGCAGTCAGATTTTTGAATCCTCACCAAGTAGAAGACTTACTCTGTGCGGGGGTTTGAAGTGTGGGTTCGAGTTTCTGTAGCCGAGGTGACTTCCTATTACCCCCAATGTAAGGACCGGGCGAACTTGCCCGGGTTGGAGGAATTGGGTTTGGCGCCAACAGAAGGACCGCTGGGCTCTCAGATGCTGGAGGCAGAAAGACGGCCGGGGTTGGAGAGACTTGCGCATGATCGGTTGAAACTGGGTTTGGCAGAACGACACCCGGGGTCGGGGAGACTTGTACCTGCTGGCTTTTCTGACCGCGGTCGGGTGAGACTGAGCGATCGGTATTGATGCCAGTGTGCTTCTTCTCCTTGTTGCCGAGGAACTGGATAATGAGCGATTCCAGACTTGATTGGCGAGCACCGAGCCGCAGGTTGAGCTCCGAAATAGTAGTGACTGATTTGGTGAGGTCGTGGAGCGTTAGCTCGGCAGTTTCAATGCGGCTTGCAAGTTTCTCAAAGCCCCGGGTGAGACTCTCTTGTAACGCAGCTGGCGTAGTCTCCCACTTGTTCTCCAGTGTCTTGACGGCTTCCCTCACCTCGGCTTCCAGTCTCTGGTGATCACTTCGGATGGACTGCAAATCTTCTTGTGTTTCCTTCCAACGCATGTGGGCAGACTCTTCAATACGGTCCATCCGGCGAGTCGCTCCGGTGATTTTTTCTTCCTGAAACCAAACGGAGGTCTCTAGACTTGCAATTTTCTCCGACAGAGGACGGCTAGCCAAATCTTGATCTTGAATACACCGGGTAATCTCTTCGAGCGCCAAAAGACGTTGTGACAGGGTCACGGGTGAGTCAACCGCCGGGGGGAGAAGGGCACTTGCGTCAATATCTTGTTTTCGGACCACAAATGCCGAATACTCTCGCATAGTAGGGGTAGACGACTCCATGACGCTGACTTGCGCTTGTTGGTCTCGGAGTTTCTGCAGGAGGTCGGCTTGGCCATGAGCAAGTCTTCTGATCTCCTGCTGCATCGTCTGCATGTCGAAGTTCGGTGGGGGGCTCAAGGACCTAAAGTCAATCTTCTTCTGATAGAGCGCCGTGTCAACT